ACTTTACTTATTCGATTAAACGAGACTTGTTGCATACAGGAAATATTAGAATAGATGCATCAGTAAATGACAACTTGGAAAATATTGTTGTATTGTTCAATCTTTTTATGATATTACATGCAAGTTTATAAAATAGTTTCTTTATACATATTATTATTTTTTATATATGTTTATACTTTTTATATATATTAATTAAAATTCAAATTGTTTGAATTCCGCTTCATATATGTGTGTGTGTGTGTGTGCTCACTTTATACATGTATGCGTATATATGCAAAAATAAGTTATTTAAAATATTGTTTTTTAAATGTGTCAATATATTATTTTATATATAGCACGTAAAAAGCACACTGTTTTTTATTCATTTGATGCATCTATCCTATATTTTTTGAATTGATGAATTTGTTTCATTGTGCTTTTGTATCTCGCTGCTCTTGTATTTGTGCGCAATAATTTTATTTCGTGATATATATATCGTGTATATACTCGTTTTGAATACGATCGGTTTCAACTTCTTCAAATCAAGATCACTGACCGTTAAACCTCGAAAACATTTTATCATTTAATCAATACAAACATTAATCGTGATAAATAATCCCAAAAGAATGATTAATCAATTTCGAGGGATTATCCGATACTCTAATATATATAATAATAATATTTTTGACTTTGATCGCGCGAAATTTGAATACTGAGACATCTAAAACACATAATATTATGAGGAAAAATTGATTGAAATTTTTAAATATTTTTTTGGCTAATATAATGTTTACGTATTGAATAATAAAATATACAATTGATTGCTTATTGATTGAGCATTATTTTTCCAAATTTGTCTATAATTAGAAATAATTTATTATTTTACAATTATATTTTGAAAATAACAATACTAAATCTTCAAAACCTTGAAAGAGAGCTCCAATGCTCTTTTGCGATGGTATTGCACAGAACGCATTGCAATGCTCTGTATCAAAAATACAATACCCGATGGAAGATTAACTGCCGCCGATTCGAATCCTGACTCGCCTGTAGAGTACGCGCGCTCTTTGCCATTTTTCATCTCGTTCAACGTGATATTAACTTGAAAACGGCCGCTCTCGGACATTACTGTAAAGCCGATCATATCTCCGTTTCGACCCGCTCTAAAGCCAAAGCTGGGGCAAAAGGGGGCCTTTTGCGGGATAAAAACTTATGATGCCTAACGTTGAATTGAATTTGAGATCACACTATATCAATTTATCGTATATATGTATGCGATGATAAACATGTTTGAATGAATACTAGATATTAAATAGCCTTCGTATATTATATATTTGTATTCAACATAACACTTTACATCGCATTTAACGTTAATTGTAATTGTAATCAGCTCAAATCTCACTGTTCTCGAATTTTATACATTTAATACGAAGACTTTAAAGCAAGCGCGTATTAAGAGTAAGATTTGTGAGATTCGTCTCAAATATGGAATCATATCTAAGTGATTTATATTTCTCTATATTTATTTATATTTTACAAACCTAGATTTATTACTATTGCTTTAACTCTTGATGGTTTGAGATTCTCTCTCTCTTTCTCTTTGACAAGGAATATTATCTTTTTTATCAAATATATTTGGTACAGTTTGTTACTTTTATTGACTAGTCTGTGCATTGACCATTTAAATAGGCAAGATTTGTCCACCATCATTTATTATATGAGAGCTATTACAAGGTCGTTTTTTTAGAAGTGCGTTATCGTTACCATTTATTCAAACATTAATAGCGTTATTAATTATATAATCTCTATCTTCATTGCACCATCATTTTACATAGATTATTGCTCCATTCATTATATTATTATTATTTTTTCCTCGCGAATCGTTGCTTCGTTTCGAAAGCCCAAGACAGTCGATATCGCGCTTTTCGCGTTCACCTGAACTTACGAGCTCGCGATCTAAACCAGGCACAGTCAGTGACCGCCACGGGTTCAACATTAAACCCGCGTAACCGTGCAAGCGCGGAGAGGCGAGAGGTGAGCGCACATACATACACGAAATACGTCGCGATGCAAATCGGCCCGCGCGACGCAAACGAGATACGCGATGCGATGCGTTTCATCGCGATGCAGCGGAGTTTGTGCATCGGCGGAATGCAGCCGGGCGTAAGCGCACGGCGCGGCCAAAGGTAATAATTGATATATAGCGATAGCATTGGCCGCTGACAGCCGCTAACCCGGCCGAATACGGATGACACTCGGTAATCCTCACTCTCATACCGGTTAGTGTCCACCTATATTCCGCGGCGTCCCATTTCCCATTCCCATAGCGTGTAAGCTCGATTCCTCTTCCTCCTCCGCTCCTCCCTGTCTCTCTCTCTCTCTCTCTCTCTCTCTCTCTCTCTCTCTCTCTCTCTCTTTGTGCAACCCCCCTGGACCAGTCCGTGGTACACAGACACTGAATATATGTCGGTCGCGCCGCAATCAGGGGTTCGGGAGAGGTGGATGATTGCGCGAGAGAGAAAGAGGGAGACAGGATGAAAATTGGACAGAGATGCGAAAAGAGAACGAGAGAAAGAGAGAGAGAGAGAGAGAATGAAACACAGGAGACCTAGAGAAAGAGAAGGAAGGAGAGAATACAGCACTACTGGAAGCTGGAGCGCAAAGCGACTCTCTCGTGCACCAGGCAGAGCGCCGGCACGAGGTGTGCGGTGCAACCATACTAATCCGCCGATGGATTTATGGTCTTAATCACCGGCGGATTATCTCGGACAGCCGCGCTCTGCTGCCACCGACCGAAACATACGCCTGCCTCTTTGCAGATAACTGTACCCAGCTTCGCGCGCACTCTCTCTCTCTCTCTCTCTCTTTCGCTCTCTGTCTCTCTCTCTCTCTCTCTCTCTCTCTCTCTCTCTCTCTGCTCTTTCTGCTTTTCTCTCTCTCTCGCTCTCTCTCTCTCTCTCCCTCGTCCTGTTTCTATCGTCGACTCTTCGGTATCTCTTCTTCCATTCTTTTCTCCAATATGACGTTTCCGGACCTTTAATCTGATATCAGGGATTTCTATGACGTTACGTTAGGCTGTGAAAATAAGTCTAAGAACCAAGAGAGACGACGCAATTGCACGTCTTTAGATTTCTTCAATGAGACACTGTTCGCCTTTAAAAGTATCACGTAATAATTCAAGTTCTGACTGAACATGAAGCAAAATCATAAAATTAAAATAGAAAATTCCGAAGTTCTTTCACCTAATTAATTTCCCAAAACATTACAATTCTGCTTGCGCAAAGCGGAATATTTCATTAAAAATTTATTTAAAAATATTCTTATCAAGTTCGTGATTGTCTTTTGAAAAGTATTTAAGTCCTATTGTTTCGTATTACGGCAAAGATTAAAATGAAACTCCGAGCTAACGATGATCGCGTAGAAGGACGTTCTTCGCGCTTGAAGTAAAATGCGCGCAAAAAGAGAGGTTTAAAATGAGGAATGTGTCTCCATAACGGCGATACAGTTTGCGAGCGAGCAACGGCAGTCGACAGGACACCGCGACGGCCGGGGATCTGCAGCGTTTTGGTACATGGCGTATAGCACCGTGGCGGGAACACCGTACCACGCTGTGTGTGGTTCTATAAATCCACCGGGGTTTACTGGCGCAAAGCTTCCCCTGCGGCCTGTGCGCGGCACCTCTCACCTCTTTCCCTGTGTGTGACCTCCTATCTGCCCGTTCTCTTCCGTCCCCCGTCAACCCCTTTCCTTCGTGCCGTGTCCACGCACGCTTCGTCCATGCTTGGTCGTCTCGCGATGCCGACCGGAACGTCTCGTCGAAACGCAAGCAGACCGTCGGGATTTCAAGGAGCTCTGTTCTGGTCGCTCGCCTGATCCGTTTCCAAGTCTCTCGGACTTGGACCGCGCGCGATCCATCGTTTGTTCGCGAATCAAGTCGCGGAGACGCGAGAGGATTTATAAAGGGCTTTCGGATTTGCGAACTTTCTAACGGTTTAGTTTCTTCGACGTGAGCCGCCACTTCGTCGTGGGGAGAGAGAGGCGTCTTCCTTTAGCAACTTCGGAAGTACTCTTTCGGAGAAACATTATTACCGCTTGTCGTGTTCCGGATCATTACAGTGATACATGATAGTTTTAAATCAGTAAAAACGCATTTATATTTATGAACTATAAATTTCTAAAGCTTAAAAAATCCTTAACTTAGTTAAGGATGAACTTTTGTTATGAATAATTATTCTTTTTTAGCAAAGTTACTATGTGAAACAATACGACATTAATTTATGCTAAAAATTTATTTGCTCCATAATTTAATTATTATTCTTTTTCAATAGAAATTTATGTAGAATAATCGAATAGAAATTGTTAAGAAAATTTATCATTGCGAATAGAAGTTTTAATTAATTAGCTAATAATATTTAATATTAACAACCCGTTTAAAATTTTATCCTCGTCATTTTCATCTTGTAGAATTCATTTGTAAAGTTCACTAATGCAAGACTCAAGGAGTATTATCCGTAGTCGACAGATTGTTGTCTTTGTAATCGATATTTTAACGCTTCAATGCAACCATTGTGTGCGTCTATTACTGCTTTATTTGTTAGGAACTCAAATTTTTGAACATCGTTCCCATGTAACTGTCCAACATTTCTAGTTTTCTCGATATGATTCCTAAGAAGACAAATGTTTCATAAAGCAAATGCTCGACGCGAGTATTCGATCAAATTAACATCGATCTATCTAAACAAATGATTAAAATAAATTAAAGTCAAATATAAAAATATATTAATTTATATTATAACAGAAAAAATATATACTCCTCTTTTTTGTAAACAAATATTATTTTATGAACAAACAAATGATTGGAATAAGTTTTTAAAGAAATTTAATTTTTATTCAGTCCTTGTATTTGAACGTCGTCTTCTTCCTGGTCTTTCTTCGCGAAGTTACCTCGGGCAATTAAAATGTTTGTAATGATTGTAGCGAGGAAATCGAAGCTTTTTAATATAAATTACAATTAATCTTACCCTGACGCGAGCTTCCGTAAGATTCGTACAGCAAGCTATCTCCTCCCTAGTCGACATGTCCGGATATCGGTTCCTCATAAATGTCATCTCCAAATTCTGTAGCTGGTGCTGCGTAAAGTGCGTTCTCTGTCGCCTTTGTCGTTTGTTCTTCTTACCGTCCTTGTCATCGGTATCGTTGACTCCGACCACTCCAGGAGAAACGACACCACCACCGGCACCCAACTCGTGTTTCACTTCTGGTGGTGTTCGTACACCTGAAAAGTGTTAAGGTATCATATCCTCGACAAAACCGCTAATAATATTTTGGATATAGGGTCGATCGTAAATTGAGATCTTTTAAAAAATGATTTAATCCGTGAAAATAATAATAAAAATACTACATATAGTGCATATTTATTTAAGTAAATGTAGAAAAAAAAATTTTGCAATATTAAAAAGTATTAACTCATTACTGATACATATTTATAAGTAATAAAATTAAAGGAAAATACTATTACTTGTAATTATTATTACATATTTATTCACTAATTAGATAGAATCTTGAATTATATTTTCAGATAAAATATTGTAAAGTATATTTATTAATCCGGTGTAATTTAATTGACATTGAATTTCGAGTGATCTCATGTTTAAAAAATGTCATTTTTTTATATACATTTAATTTTATATACATTTCATCGGGAGAAGTTAAAATGGACTTATTTGCGCGTCGTATCACGAAAATGCAACGGACTCGAGTGAAAAGACATGCAGAAATTGACATTTCTACAATATTAGAACGAACGAAGTGAGATCCGGTGGTGCGAAGGTTTGTTGTTAACCGGGGACTGTAAGACTCCGGGAGATATTTCAATTTGCGGGGATTTGGGGCGCGAGTGAGAGTGTTCCGGCTAAGTGCCGAACAAACGTGCAAACAAACGAAAGCAACCTTTTCCGCGTCTCTTCTCCCATTCGTCGCCATCCACCATTTCGCGCATTCGTTTCAAAACTCCGTGTAAACGCGAGAGAGCATGGCGTCTGGCAAAACTCCTTCCCGTAAACTAAATTTTGATTCGAGCAAATACGTCTCTCTCGTTATAGAATCTAAATGTCGAATTCTGAATACGTATATACGTAATATACGAGATATATCGCATATCTCATATCATTTTAAAAAAGATATGCTAAAAATATATATTAAAAACGATATCTATAATATTCTTTGACAACTAATAAAATAATAAGATCAATTAATAATAAATGATAGTCCCTATGCGAACCAGATATTAAATTATTCATGTTTCAATAGTTAGATTACGGTTGCCCACAAAGTTTGACACATGTAAACTTTATATATTATGTATGTATTGTATATATTAATTCTGCACAATCGAAACGTACCTTTTCGGATATCCGGTCTATGAGTGGTGTTCGTACGGTTTCTCGGTTGACCGGTAGAATATCCTCCGGAGGGTGTCGTGGGAGTCGCCCCTGGTGTACTAGGGTTGCTACCACCGGGGGTATGAGCGCCATGCCCTGCATCGAGCCTTGCGAGACCCCCGTTGGTTTCGTCTCCAAAGTCACTCTGCGCCCAGACTACAAAACATATCGCATTCTCTTGCAACATCGTCTAGTACGATAATCCTTATTTATTCTCGACCGAAGTCACATTTCTTAATTAGAGGGGAATTTCTTTTCGCGTTTTGCAAGTCATCTTTGTATGATTTAGCAAATGATATGTTACTATTTCAGATTCGAGACAAATGACTAAGATAGCTATAATTGAAGCAATACTGATTCATTATATAAATCTGTATTATTAATATCTATTGTAATAATTCTGAGCAATTTAGGAAAAAAGCTATTGATGATAAAATAATGCCTTTTAAAAATTAATTTCTTGATAAAAATCTTTTAATTTTACTACAAATTTTAACCAGTAATTTCTCATGTCGTATAATCGTAGTGCATAATTCGTATGAATGAGATAATTAATAAACGTATACATTCTATTCATTCAAAGTTATGTCTTCTCCCGCTCTTTAATCAACGATTATTTATCTATGGACAAAGTAGACGCAATAAAAAGAAAGATCGTTCCCTCTCTACGCACTTTGTGATGCTCCATGTGCTTCCTTACGTATGCGTCGCATGTGCGTGTGCGTACGCGAGGCGGGCTAAGAAGTTAATCGGCTCGGTCGTTTAGTTTCGCTCCGTTTAGTTATATTTGGTTTCCGAGGGAGCGGCAAAGAGGAGGGACATAGTTCACAATTAGTCGGCGCATAACTCGAGTTGATTTAGTAGACTACGAACGACGGAGACACCCGTGTCACTCTTCCTCGATGCTGCCAAGTGTGCGAGCGACGCACATATGTGTACGAAACGAGATGAAAGAAGGGAGGGGGGATTCTTCTACAATATTTTAAATGACTTCAAACGCGTTTAAATTTTAAAAAATTTGAATATTACACTGTTAATTGGATATTACACTCTATCGAAATAGATTTTATTTTTTTTCTTACAAGAAACGAGAATATTAATAAAATAGGATATCATATATGTATTGTAAGAAAATTTGTATGTGTGTATTATAAGAAAACAAAGAAGAATCAATTGTAGAGAATTATATATATATATATATATATATATATATATTTCTATTTATTATATATATTTGTAAGAATGTGATATATCCCTGAAAAGATCATGCGCATAAAAACAATATGTCGTAATATTCGATGCGTATTTTTTACAACCTCCCTTCTATTGCCTCTATTTTACGGAATCGCTGTATGTCATTCTCGTGAGACTTAAAAATAGCGCCGTTTCATATCATCGTATTATTCTTTGATCGCGACAAGTACATAGTAAATGATTGTGTTTTATTTAATTATTAAGCCCTGAAGGAAAATAATCAGTATATTGAAACAGTTTTATCAGTTATAAAAACTGGCCAATTGACCAGTAACTACCAGTAAAACTGTTTCAATATACTGATTATTTTTTTAAGAGATTAGATTTACATAAGGAAAATGTAGCTGATTCAGGATGGATTTAAAATCAAGGGCTTTAAGAACGACATATTAATAAGAGTATTTAATTAGATATTCTAATAATCTACGTCTGTGTCACTAAGAAATATGATTTCGTGTTTTCGGAGTTATCTTGTATTATAATGTATACACAAAACAAGACGAGATTTTTTTATAATATTTTAATAACGACTTCAAACGCGTTTAAACTGTAAAGATTTAGAGCTTTTATTAAAATAATATATCGGAGATGCTATATCATTGACATAAATTTTATTTTCTCCGAAACAATGAACATAATTTAATGAAACAGGACATTACATTGTAAGGAAATGTAATAGCAAAGAAGTAATTAAAGAAAATTATTTGTAAGGATATACTCGAGATAATAAAATCACCGTATACACGCACTGGCAGGAATGATGTGCGAAGGACGGAACATTGGAATGCCTCCCCCACTACTCTATCCCCACTTTCTCTCCCGCTGCCCGGCTCGCGTACATGCGAGCTTCGCTTGTGTGAGTGTGACGTTAGTGAGCGTCAACACAAGCATAACGGGATACCTTTCCTGCCAGTGCGTGTACAAAAGACCACGTCCTATTACGTCACATAATTCGGCATAATTGTTTTTGCGAATAATACGCTATTAATGTTTATATACGATCACTGTCATTCACATCATGATACTCGAACGAGAAAATATTAATCATTAATGAAACATTACCTGGAAATAAAACATGATGTAGTATAGATTGATTCCGAGTCAAGTTGCGACGCATTAATAAATAATATATACAATTACGTTTTACAAGGATAATCGTATATTTGAATTTCTAACATAAGTATGTGAATATTTTCTTTTGCCTGCGGCGTACGTCGCGCGTCGCGCGATTGTTTACATTCTTGATGACTTATCATACGCGCTGCGAGACTCGGGCGGGCAGCAACGCCAGTCGTTCCGAGGTGATGTCGTATTATCTCGCGAAATACAATCGTAACGAGTACTGGGAGCCGTCAAATGTGATTATTGTGATAATTACAATTAAAGATTAACTATAATGATTAACTAAGCGTGACACGTAAACGATGGTTATTCAAAACGGGCATTTCGCGATTTATTCTTTCGAAAGAGAAAAATTATACGATTGTTCGCGGGATTTAGGAATCGTACATGCAATGCTAAATTTTAATTGTATATTTTCGGATAATCCATCGTAATTTAATTAGCTATCAATTTTATTCGTTCAGTATCAGTCGTTGAATGTCAGAACAGAATGGAATTAGAAAGAACAATCACATATTTTAATATATTAGTGGACTACGTAATAAAAGTTCAACATTTATACAACGTGATTCGTTAAAACACATTTCATGCAATTTATTCGAAATCTATTGAAATTTATCAGCCGAATAATTGGCAAAGCGATGAGAGAGTGTATTTTTGAATCTTATATTCTGATATTTATCTTTAATTCTGACTCATATATATTCATACTTATATTTATGTTGTAATTTTTTTTAATACAAGATAATACTAAAACAAGAATATATTTATTAACAATAAACATAACGTCGATGTAGGAAGTGGCGTATGAATTTGAGAATGTAATTTTGGTGCGTGCAATTATAATTTTCTGTGTTATTTTCGCAATATAGTAAAGTGTGCGTTGCGAATTGTGTTTTGATGATTAGTGCGTGTACAATTAAAAGTGTTTTCGCGAGTGAATGTGAATACCACAAGAAAACAACGAAAAGGAGCAGAAAGCCCGGGAAGGCATCAGGCAATGGAGCCTGGAATCATAAGGTGATTTTATTATTTAGAATTTATTATTCCTTATTACTTTTATTAATTAATTAATTGTTACTTATACTATTAATTACTTTTTTGTATAATAATTCATTTTATATTATTATATAATGTCATATATTTATATGAACTATTTTATACTTTATTTTCAAATGTAGCGAGAAAAATAAAATATATTTCATATAAATATTATATATAGAATATTTCGTCATTCATGTACAATATTAATAATTATCTAGATTATATATATAGATTATACATATATATATATATATATATATATATATATACACACACACACATATATATATGAATTATATTCTCATTTTTATTATATATATTTTATAAAAATTTATATATTTTTATAGAAAATTTTTTTTAGAATTTACAAAAAATTTTACATTAAACATTATGTTAAAGAATAAAGAAGTCAACTGCGCATAATTATTTTTTGATTTATTAAATTTATTTTAGACATTCTTTTATAATGTATATATTTGTATTTTACAGATGCCAACATAATTCCGTCACTGCGCATCATACTGGTGAGTAAAATTATTATTTTAATTTCTATATATGACAATGAATTTACAAAATTACATCAGATTGTCTGTCAGATTTATATATACGAGATATATCGAAATAATACACATGTATATGTATATGTGTGTACACATAAAAGAACCAAAAAATTATAAATAAAAATACACTTTTTTGATAATTATATAAAAATTTAAATATATTATTAATAACTTAGATGCTTGATATGTCTAAATTTAATTTATATATTTATATATTTTTATACAGTTAATATTTAATAGTTATTAGTTAAAAATTTAAAAAAGATATATATATCTTAAAATTTAATAAGAAATAAAAATATTATAAATAAATATAATATCGTAAATTCATTGTCATTTATATATAAAAAATATTTAAACATTAAAAATAGTGGCTTTTATAATTTAATAGGAGAACTTTGTTTCTCTAGCCACACAAATAATATCTAAAATAATACAGTTATATTTTTTGCGATTACGTTGTATCTTAAATATATTGCAAATTTCAATTAATCTTGTTTTGAAGCAATCTGTTTTCTTCATCTCAAAATAATAAAATCGAAGAGAAAAAGAGACTTTAATAATTGATAATAAAAGTGACTAGTTTAAAACCGATAATGTAATAATTCATAATTTTTAGTCGAATAATATTTTACTCACGCTTATTTCAAGCAAAGTTATGACATTTCGGTCGGTATAGTTTATCATGGTGCTGTTTTGAAATGCACTTGCGCGAATAGATTTTTTTGGCAACGGAAGATGTACCTGTCAACGCTTGTAATATTTCAACGAGCGTACTTCTGCGGTACCAATTTACGCGTAGCTTTCAGTTACATAGTCTACACGGCAAGGAAGTCGTCAAAACTGTTGACGGACGGTTTCTCGCATGTTGATATTTAGTCCTTGGAGGGCAAATTTATCAGAGAGAAAGTATTCGGTAATATGCGACTGTTTTGCGATTTCTGTTTTGGATTCAAATACATTAATGTACGACTTTCTATATCAAAAATCGAGTACAGGTACCATGTTTCCAAAGAGCGACGGAATCCTCTTGGGAGTCGTTCGTATATTTATAGCTCGGTTATAAATTTGTAGAAAGGTAACTATACGAGACGCGAATGTGGTGAAAATCGTGGAACTGCCGCAGAAAATTGATATTGACGAATATCGCGACTTGGCATCGCGTAAATCAATCTTTCCCCTGGACTTCACTGCACGGATTCTCGCCGTGCGTTTGCTAGAGCCGCGCCATGTATGTTTACACAATCATTACTGTTATTTATCGCTTTGGTAGCCAGGATTGAAACTGGTATAATTTCGGCGAATTCAGGTCTCAGCGCTCTAGACACGCGGAAATGATCTCTGTATTTATTCGAGACGATTAATAGGAAGGAAATCTATTCGAAGAGTATTTTGAGTAAAAAACAATCTAAATCTCTTTCTTTTTTTCTTTTTTCTTATTAATATATAATTGTACGGCTTTGTATTTAAAGCAAGTTTTATTTTTTTTGTATACTTTATTTTTCTTTCTTTTATTTTTATATTTTTACGTCACAGATGTACGTGTACGTATTTAATTAAATTCACTGTAAATTATATCGAGTTTCAATCTTGTTTTATCGTATATGCGCATGCATTTTCTTCCGAGCATTATATAAATAAATGAACGTAACTTATGAGGTTGTGACTCGTCTATCAGAATTCGTGATTAATTCGCCGGACGAAATGCGAGAGCGGATGAATCGCGACGACAGAATTATGCAAGACACAAAATGCAGCGCGATTTTGAACGAGGCAAGGTACAATCGTGTCACGCTATGTTATATATCGCAGAAATGCTAGCTCGCTTGGAATTTATTCCGACATTTATTACCTGCAATTCAACAATACCATTCATCTAGAAAACGACCGACGTATGCCTTTGATATCAGCGTGTAAATAGAGTACCTATGAAGCGATCAGTTCTACAAACAGATCAGTTACTTAAATGGTCGCTCGACCCGCGAAACACATGTAAAAGTATTTCCCTATGAATGGAAATATCGGGATAAGCTCATGTTACGAGCGACTTGTTAAGGCTCCTCAATAAAAGACAAGCGAAAATAGTATCGCCTTATGGAATCATTCTCGGCAAATAAGCAAATAATCAGTTTGAAATTATTTGAAGATCTTTATTGGTTAATCCATCAATATATAATAAAACTCCCCCCAAAAAAATTAATATTTACAAGCGACATAAATTTCAATTTTAATTTTTTAATTTGAGAATTTTTAGAATTACATAAAATAAAAAGTCTCTTTTTACACACAACATGTTTAATTTGAAGGTTTTCGCTATTTATTACAAAGATATTTAAATTTTACTTAATAGATACGCACGTACATTCATTTCTCTTATTTTGATAAAGATAATATATCAACGGAATTTTCTATCGCTGCTTATATTTCAAGATTAGAAATAATCTACATCGTGATCTAATACGAGCGATTAATGGAGTAAAATTTATAGATTACTTCTACGCTTTTTAATATGTCACAAACAGATCTACACATTGACAATAGTCGAATTTTTATTATACTTTTTTCTGAAAATTTTTTTATACTAATTAGAATTATTCGAATACCTTTTGTCTCAATATTTGCAAATATATAATCTGATATTTTGATAAATTTGCTTAGATTAAATTCGGAAATTCGATAATTTTTGGTCCATGTGCAATTTATCTCTGATATATTTACAAAAAATATGTGTTTCTGTATAAAACAAAAATTTAAATTTTTCTATATAAGATTATTAACGATTATTACGAAAACTTTAAAATTTCGAATTTATTGAATAATTGACTTGAAAGATCTCAAAGTCGAAGATGAAAAATTCGAATTCGCTAAAACAATAATACATTGTGAATATTTTTACGCTGATAATAACATAAATAAGCAGCGCGTAGAACGAGATGCAATGATTTTCCATGGTGTCGTTCGGATATACTTTTCTCGCCTCTAACGCGCACGTTCCCACAAGATCCCCTGCGGAGTTCTCGGAGGCTTAAGATGTCGTATCGTTTGACGGCCGTGTGCTTGTCCGCCGGCGGCCACCATGGATTCGTGGCGGAGTTATTGCGGGTATGCGAGAGGATCCCGAGAGAAAGAGAGAGAGAGGGAGAGGGCGGAATGTAACCCCGACACTCTCCACCCCGTCCTGTCAAATACGTTTGACACTCCGATCCCGTTCGCGCGCTCGAGCATTTCGTTTCTCGAAGAAAGAGATCATATATTGATCCCTCGACCTGAAAACGTCGAAACAATATGGACCTTTCTTTCCGTCTACGCAACCGAAGACTACCTTGGACATGTGTCAGAAATATCGCGCGGGATTCGAGTGTAACACAAGTGAATGAATAAAGTTTTGTCGCAAAATGACGATTGTTAAACGAATGGAATTGAAAAAATACTTGCTGCTTGAATTTAAGTGAATCATAAGATTTTCAATTCTGTCGTTTTCGGGAACAAAAGAGAAAGAGTCGACTTGACGGATTCTTTCATACCAAGCATCGCGCGTTGTTTTCGTACAGAAAAGAAGGCCGGAAAAAGAGGAAGCTCAAGAAAGCGCGACGTTCGAACGGACAGAATAAAGAAACGCGAGAGTTAGGATGACGATGGGGGTACGGGAGAAGGGACGCCAACTAGAGGAACGACACGAGAGAGGGAGAGACAGGTTGTAACTCACAAATTTATTACTTTTCCCTGCGTGCTTGGAGTTATTTTATGCCAAAGACAAACCGGGCCCGTCCTGCGAGAACGAGAGGGAGACGACGACGGGAACGAATATCTCAGCTGCGTCGTCGCGCGCGTTTTTACGCCCGCGGGATATATTAGTGGACCGCTAATCCGCATGGATTTTACGGGACGGCTGTGCATGCGAGAGCGTCGCCGTCGTCGTCGTCGTCGTCGTTGTTGTTGTCGACGAAGACGACGAAGATTACAACGACGAAGCCGCGCGCACCGTTTTCATCCTGTTCCATTTAGCACCATCGACTCTCTCCCGATCCCATGACCTCGGCCATGTCCGAGTTTGCGCTCGGGCTAAGTCGTCTTGCGCCCTTTCGTCGATATCGCGATGTTACAGTGAACTCTCTGTCGGCCGACGTTGCGCTATCGAACCTCCGGATAATCGGCATGATTTAGGAGATTCGCGGAAGAATTGCTACAGTAACGTCTACGCTTTTTCCTTTATAGACTAGTGATAATGATTATTATGATAACGAGCGAAATAATTGTATCAATGTCGTAATTTATTACATAATTTCCTTCACGAAGAAGGATAATTTTATTCAATCATTTTTTAAGTGGGCGAGATTTTTATTTTAATAATTATATATTGATGGATAATTATATATTGATATGTAAAAATCATTAAGATTTAGACGACTATACTTCAAATAATACACTGCGATTCAATCGAAATAATAACTTCTCTATAACATGTTTTTAATGTAAAAGAATATCATGAAAATATTGATATACAAAATTTTAACACGGTCGATGTATATGATTGAAAATTAATATTTATCTGTAATACACGAGTAAATAATGCAGTTTTGTTAATTTTTCGATATACGTGCTAGCATAATCCAAGCCGTGATAACTGTATACCGACATTAAGCCGTGGAAACTATAAAAGCCGTGGATTATGATTTAGGCCACTGTAGTCCAATCTCCGATACAAAATTAACAACGCGCTGTTATTTCGACGCTGTTGCTTTCATCACCCGCAAGTTTTACTCGCGCGGGGCAATAAAGCTCGCTTCAATATACACGACATCGATCAAGAGATATTTGGCGAATTGACATTCCGGTACTATTAATTTATTGCCGTAATCAAATGGGAATATCTCCATCGCTAAAATTATTTACAGTCTCCATTTATAATGTATACGTATGCATGAATATTTTTATATTGCGCAAACATGTCTGAACAATTATAA